ACACTTCCATAATGTCAAAAATAGGAACTCTTGGCTGGAAGGTTGCTGTGGCCTCCTGGTGCTGGGGACATGGCCTGCCTTTAGGGACAGGAAATGGACACCAGAGGGGATGCCAGAGGGGGTCCCTGTGAGGCCTGAGCAGCAGTGCTGGAGGGCGTTGTACGGTGAGGTCTTCTGGGGAGTGTGGATATCACACCAGGTGGTCTCTGCACAACCCTCTTTAGCCGAGGGCCTACATCCTCTCTCCATATTTGGGAAAATGACCCAACTCCACTAGGTTTCTACAAACAAGAGTTTTTGAGGATCTAACAGGCTTCAAGATGGCAGAGCCCGGCAGTTTTCCTGCTGCTCCTCTCAAAAGTCATGTAAAACACTAAGAAACAGAAGCACAGGCTCCAGCTGGGATACAGGTGAGGCTCAAACTGTTCCCAAATCACAATATTTATAAAGACAGAAGGTGAGCAGAGGAATGATGCGAACAGAAAGGGAAAAGGGGACACCTAAATGCAGGGGTGGGGTGTGGAGGTTATAACGTGAAGCAACTGGGGCCGCCCCAGAGAACCCCAGGGAGGTGCAGGGATTAGAAGCAGATGGGGAAGGGGATGGGGGCTGATAACATTCAGGGCTGCCATGTGCTCCTCACCCCAGGAGGGAGGGGAAATTAAGCTAAAGCTGACTTTCTGAATGGTGAGCCTCAAATCCCCTCCCCTGCTTCAGGATAATGAGTAACGATAAAGCCCTACAGAAACTGATTTGGAGAAGGGGTTCCCCAGGGGGAAAAAACCTCAGCTAGCCATCAGATTGAGCCACCAGTCTCCAGAATGCTCTAGGGCAGTGGGAAGGTTGAGAACCACTGCCCTAGAGCAATTGTTTTTAGGCTGTAAAAAATAGAAACTCCATTTCTAGTTGGCTCATAGAGTCATAACAATAAAAGTAATGAATATGTGTTTTTAAAATTTTGTGATATAATTATATTGGGAGAATAGGAGGAGAGAAAGGGTGGTGTATGCATGCCAATAAATTATCATCTATCAAAAAAGCAAGTCAATAGATGAAAGCTGAAAAACGTTGTTAGTTGTTTCTGAAGGGTGAGATGGGGTGGGAGAGGCAAGAGGTTGCTGTTTTGTTAGAAGCCTTTTAATACTTTTGAGTTTTAACTATTTACATATATAAACTATTTACATATAGTAACTTTAAAATACTCTTACTCTGGAAAAAATCAAGCACATACAAAAGTAGACAGAATAATCTACACTAATAAAAGACAAACACACAAATTGACCATACCTTCACTATGCCTTAAGCCATGCCCACCAGCCAATCAGAGCAACTATATGCAAATTAACCCAACCAAGATGGCGGCCAGCAGCCACA